TCTAAATTAAAAAATAAATGTACAGACACATACTTTCTTACAGGAATTCGACAAAGTATGTGTTTGTATTGTGCATGAAATATGACCAGTAGGTAGTAATTATATAGATATAAGTGATGTTAAGTTTACTTGTAAAAAACATTACGCAAAGTCACCTAAACTTTTATGCACAATATGGATCGCTGATTTTATTCATGCCCGTTCACTTTAGTATATATCCATAGACATTGTTAACAGAACTAAGTAGTTGAATGTTATTAGGGAATAGACTGGTTGAAATAAACTGGTTAAAAAAAAAGATGCACAGTTCTCAATATTTTGAAAGTAGCAGATCTTTTGCTGGCGATGTAGATAACAATTTTAAGATATGGTTGCTGTATAGTTAAATAATAATTATTGTAGAAGATGTTGCTTAGTTTTCACGTAACTATGTACAAATAGATGCAAGAATTTTACGATCTATTGAACTCAACGTTCCTCCAGAATATTTTCACGTTGCATAACATACAATATGTATTTATCATTATTAATTTACAGGAATGTTTGTGACGTTTATTTTTTATAGTCCATGTGTTTTTATATCGCATGATATAAGTGTTATATGATGCTTGCCAAAATAATAATATACTTAAAGAGATATATCGTTTTCCTGTGGATATTACAATTCTTTAAAATGTGGGGTGCACCACTGGGAGAAAATGTAGGCAACATTCTCTTCAATATATTATGTGCAGTGTATTCTATCTACTTTATTTACAATCTAAAAATATATAGTTCTAGATCCAACTTTCCAGGTGTAAGGTTGCAATTTTGCGTAATTCTAAGAACACTTACATCAGTAGTTGTATCACTTAAGTGATTGCATGAATATGACTGTGTCTTTTTTTGTGTTAATATTAACTGTGGTATAATCAACAAGATGGAGATCATAGAGTAACAATGTGGAGTTCTAAGAAATATTACATTGGAGAATAGAAATAGTTTTAGAATAGGTTTCCCTTAATTTGCCTCGTTACGTAGTTTCCTCTTTTTTTTATTGTAAAATCAGCATCCACCTGTGAGGTAGTGTCAGAACATAAAAAAAATGTAAATATCGAACAGAAACAGATTTTCGTGACTCAACAATCCCCATTAATATACATAAAATTGTAATTCACAGACTTCTATGCTAGGCCTCATTACGATCATATACAATACATCGTACGGCCTACCTTACTGCTTTTTACAACTCAGATTTTTCCTTATTGGACAGTAAGCATTTCATTTAAACGCCTGGTAAACTCTCCAGGCACTGATACCGAGTGCTATTAATGTAATAGTCGTATGAAGAATTCTTCTTCTTGTATCATCTTTTCTGACAAGAAATGTTGGAGCTGACGGTCCTAAAAGTGCTAGTAACTCTACATGCGGCAGCTTACTTGTGTCAGTCTCCACTTGATATTGGCAACAAGGATCAAACTGCCATGAAACTGTATAAAGCCCACAGGATATCACAGATATGAAACCTAGTGGACCACAAAAGTAGGGCCGGTCGCCCCAGATCAAACCTGTACACAAAATATCACAATTTGATTAATAATGATTATAAGCATAAGGATATCAAATACAAATTATAAAAACCTGTGGTTATAGCTGCGAGGCCTGATAATGCTGCAGTTTTATGAAGACAATTTCCCACTGCTATCCATCTGGAGGTTTCATCACCCAGTTTAGATGGTTCAATAACTATTAAACTACATTCAGATTCTAATGCTCTCTCTAACTCATATTCAAATGTCTCGTGTGCGTTTTCATTATCATATACCTCCCTAATAATGGCAACATTAGAGGAATCATCCCTGTAACAAAATCATATTCAATTATTTAAGAAATACTTCATCCAAGTTATATAAATAACAATTTATAAATGTAATTAATATTATGCCTGTGATAACAATGTTATGATTTCAGTCGATCATCGATCTTATTACTTAAAATATAAAATATGAACTATATTTTTAAAAACTGAGCAATTTTAAGAGGCGTTATTTGTTATCAGAAATTTATTCTTTTTTGTGTATTATGTAAGATGTTGATCGGAACTAATCTGTGTCTGGCTTGTTTGAATACAAACATATTTATAACAGAGACAATAATTTTTTATTTACTGGTATGCGTGTAAATAATATTTCATTAGAATCAAGCAAAAATATCCGAAAGAAATAAACAATTTAACGAATGAAAAATTTCACTGAGTCTGACAGGAGATGTAAAAACTGTGCGGTAGAAATGAACGTAATATATGAAAGTAACGAGCCCCTGTTACGGCAATTACTTCTAGTTTTACTTTGTAATGAAAATTTACGGGTTAGTAAAATATTCATGGATATCTAGCTGAGATTATGAAAGATTAATCTCTTGTATTCCAGGGAATGGATACGAGGTTAATTTTATTTCAATATACATGTTACACCACTGTATTGCGTCCCGTGGTGCGATTCGGTGCTAATTGCAAGTATTAGATTTCGTGTAAAAAGCCGAAAATAATTTGGCCTACGAACCTGTCACCAGCTTCATCTACCATCTTTACAGTCAGTCTACCAAATACTGGAACGTTGGTTGGTTGGACTGGATGAACCGGAAAAGAAATCTTGAACATCGAACCGGATGCAAAAATCAGCTGATTCGGTTTAAACGTTCGTATGATTCCAGTTGTAGACTTGTTGTTTCTATCAGTTTCCATTTTGAATTTATCCCGACGATTTTCTTCATAAGACCGAAGGAATTGAAAGGTGTGTAATCAGAGATGGTATGTAATGTTATCGTACAGTCTGAGTTACCGGGAAACAATGATTGAATGTCGACTAATCATGTTTGATTTTCATGTTCATGGAATATTTCTTCTATTTGTTATTATTTATATTGTTCAACAGAATACGAACAATTGGTTATCGTTTATTACAAGTACGAGTATGCATAGTTAATAGTTCAATAAAAAACGTGAAAATATACTGAATTCCAGAAGTACTCCGTCTGTTTTACGTTAAAACAATACTTAATCATTCACCAACGATGTGAACAAAAATGTGCCACGTTATTGGTAAACGTATGCACAAATGACAACGGTTTTCGAACCGAGTCTGCACATACATATAGAAAATACGTAGATTCAATTAGTCGTGACGCATGGAAAGCATTGGAGATAGAGAGAGAGAAAAAGTGCCACACCTTTTCTATATGCCTGCTAAGTCAGTCCGGCATCCTTTGAGTAGTACATAGAATTGAATAAAACTTATTGTTACGTATGGAAAATGCTTGCAGCAATCGAACGAATTGAAATTGCGCGCCAGCGCTGCAGGCTCGAGGGACTAGTTTGAGAACGGCGTAGTATCAGCCGCGACGGCGCGTGCAGCGGTCGATCGAGCAAGAGTGAGCGCTCCCGACGGCATAGAGAGCGAGTTAAACGGGCCAGATCGCAGATGGACGTCCGCGGGAGCGTTTCTGTCATGGAGAGTACGACGCGACATGTCGTAAGAGTGGTCAAGTGTCGTCGTGGTCGTGGTCGTTGTCGCCGTAGCGGTCGCGTGTGCGGTACAATTTCGGGACGTGTCGCGATATTGCCGCAGTGACAGTTGACAAAGGTACGCGTGCGTAAGGATCGTAGGTGCTCCTGGTGCTACTGTTGATATACGTCGCGCGAACCGAATAATTAGATACAGCTACGTCTTTTCACGGCCGAGTTCTAAGCAGTCGGAACGGGACTGGGCCCTCGCGTTCAGGATAGAGCACGCACGTGCATTTTGCATTCGATCGCGGCAGTATGGTCGATGAATCGGTGAACGGTGCTGTGACACGTTAATTACGGTGCATGTCAGTGTGCCTATTACTAATAGATCCGTGAGATTCGTAGTGTCGGTTGTAATCCACGTGCAGAGAACGCGGATGCTCGAGAGGAACGAGCGTTGTCAACAACCGCAAGGGTGAAGGAGGGACAGTCACCTCGCGGTATATCGCGTACGCGGACGAACGTTTTCATGGAATCGAGTCAGTGTCGACGAGGCGGTTCGTGCGCACGTGTTGCCGCGTGACATAAACGCATCGTAAACACACAAACGAGCGCGGCCACGCATTCGCTTATGTTTATATCACGAAATTCGAGCGGAGTTGAGTACGTTACCCACTTCGCGGAGCGTATATAAACAACGCGCACAGAAGCGTGTCGGAGTTTCTTCCGGTTACAAACATCGCAAGCGTGAATATTAATCTTATTTATTTGCGCATTTCGACTTTGATCGTGTCACGAACTTCGCTTTACGGTAGAAGCGGAATTGCTGCCCAGGAGATCAACCGTGCGGCATTTCTCGCGCGAAAACGAGAATACGAAATCCTGTTAACCCGATCCGTTAACGTAACGGACACACGGAGCGCGGTCGCGGAAGTTGACTCTTTGGTGAGGAAAAATCGCGAAAATAAGGAACAACCGTTCGAAACGAACAACCGGGTGGGTGTTCGCGTTAAATAGGAACAGACCGAGCGTGCGTAATCGGTGCACACATCGGAGATCGCGTTCTCTCGAATTCTCTTGAACCGCGGTGAACGGGTGACGAAAAGGTGAAGAAAAAGAGGAGGAGAGACGAACGATGCTGCTGTCCGGTCGTCGCGGCTAATTCGCACGTGTCGCGATGTCGGGCGGCACGGCGGGCGTCCGCGGCACCGGCGCCGAGTGCAGGAAGTTCGCGCCGAACATATTCAACAAGAGCAAGTGCAGCAGCTGCTTCAAGCAGAAGGAGGAGCACAGCGCGGAGGCTCTGGAATGCAACAGGGTGAGTTTTGCTTGATGGACTCTCTCTATCTCCCTTTCTTTCTCTCTCTCTATCTACACGCGTCTCGCTTGTTCACGCGTTCCCTCTTTTCCGTATCTCCGTCTATCGTCCGCTGCGTGTCCGTCTTCGTCTCGCACGTGCGTATCTGCACTTGCGAGAGCCGAGCTGGCCATTTTCTCTTTCTTGCTCGCCCTCGAATTCCTTGCCGCGATCGGGACCGGGTAGAAGGACGAAAGTCCTGCCGTGGGACGCCGATGGTTATGTAAGATGAGCGTGCACGGTCCGCGTTAGTCCGCGGAACGGTTTCCGAGTCTGGCTATCAAACTTCGCAGCATCTTGCTTTGACTTTACTTGTTCGATAAATACGATACAGTATAGGCGATACTAAGCCAATCCATTTGCATCATGCACTGACCTGTAACATCTCATATACCTAATGGTTGATGCAATGTAGGATACAATATCTACATTAAATTTTCATCTAACGATTGATATAATAATAGACGTGTGCGAATGCTTTATTAAATCGAAATTAATTTTCTAAAGTTTTATAGTAAAATGATTAAATAGAGGATAATTTCATGTAGTACTTCACATTAATTGTTAACTACTTTGATGATAATGAGCAGAAAAATTGTGCGCGTATGGTACACTAATGATCCAGATGGGATAATTATAACCAGTATCATAATTGTTTACGATGGTAGAACGTAGGGCAAGACCGGTGGGACATTAAAAGTACAGATTATATGTTAGATATATGAGCATCGATTGAATCGTAATACTATTCTATAGAACGCGTGAAAAAATAGCGTCGCCACGGTACCAGGGAACATAAATACGTGACGCACGGTACAAGTTGGGAGACGCGAAAAGAAGAGGAATAAGAATGTTTATAGTACGGTTTTCTTCCTTCTGCTGTGGTTTTTATTTACAACGGGTCCGGCGCGGCTCGCTCGCCGATGAGCAAAATTGCCTCGTAAAAGCCTGGCCCGTGGAGAGGTGGTCTGTAAAATAAAAACGTTAAAAATCAATTCACGCTGCGGATCGTACGGTACCGTCGAGATGCCAGCGCTTGGGACACGTACTACCTATACCAGCATATGTTAATATCGCGAAACGGTTCTCCGTTTAAAGTCCATCCGATAACGCGACATTATTATCTTCTTTGTTCCATCTGATTCTCCGATTTCTTCAATTTCTCACGTTTTTCATCCTGCGTCTTGCGTATTTTGTTTCGCTTTCGTGTCAGAATTCAATGAAGAATTCTTTTGCGGTTACAAGAGGCGAATAATACAGGTGTTGGACGAGTGACGTTATTTCTCTGGTTTTTTAGAAAAATTTTACGTGACGAATATTGATTTTAGTTCAACGTAAAATCCAAGAAGTAGTTACATAATTTCAATCTGTAATAGTTTTCCCATTCTTTTTAAATCACTTAATTGTTCATTCAAAGTTTATATAAGTATCTGCACATGTTAATTACTGCGGATTTTATCCATTTATCAAAAAATTGTATTTGTACAAAATGCATGGCAATATCCAATAAGATCGAAAGTAAAATGCATTAGTAAAGGGTAAAGGATGTTCCATTTGTTAATAACTGTAACTTGTTTATTGGTAGTAAAAATAGTTTCGAAATTCAGGCAGTCTGAGGTACAACGTTTTGCCCACATCTACGGCTGTCCTCTCTTGATTTCGGTCAAAGGGCAGGACTATTTCGTACGCGTACAATGGGACAGGTCCCCTGGGTTCGAGGCCGTTGCAAATTTTGGAATGTCGGCAGCCTTGCGACCTGTTCTCGGTGCATTCCAACCGTCTTCCCGACCGGCACTCCGACAACACCAGGCCCTTTCGAGAGTTGTTCGCTTGTCGGTTTTCGCCTGGATGCGGTATCTTCGTATCTGTTTATTCTCTCTGCTCCCCTGTTGTTTCACTGTTTTTCTCTTTCCGATTCTCGTTGTTGTCTCCCGTATAACCGCAAATAACGAATGCATACGCAATCGAAGCCTCCCCTCGCCCCTCTATCACGTTTCGCGGCTCGTACTTTGACGAAGAGAGCCTCGAATCGAAGGAGTTTGACCTTTTACAACATTTCTCGCGGCGGCTCTCACTCTTCAGATCGGTCTCTAGCTACGAGCCACGGGTATCGCGGAAGTGTAGCTTGATTGCGTGAATACGCGTGTCCTGCGGCAATTCGATCGTTCTTAAAGGTCATTAGAGTTCAAGTATTGAACAATATAGATGCGAAAACGATTTTTCAAATCGTTCCTTTGATCTTTCGCCGTTGAGAAACAGAGATTTTCTAATCGCCTGTTAAAAATTTGTACGAAATCGTTTCTAAACTTGTGCAATTCCTGAAGTACAATTGTACTTTTGAGATCTTCCGTCTATTGTTTTACTTAATTGGATTCTCCGGTCGTGTTCTCATTGTCGGTTTTAATTCACCGCGTTCCAACGCGTTGTCTTCACCGTGACGTTGTAAGTTTGTCGAAGGTTGAAGTCATGCTTCCGACGAGGAAACGCTGCGATGCTGTCATCGATTCCCTTTCAAGTTCAATTATACTATAACGAGGAATAAACGACAAAGGCGTCTTTTAGAGACGAATAGCTAATTGTTGATGCTGTAATTGATACAATATTTGATGCAACAATTCATATACTAATTTATTATGCTATGTTCCTCATAATAAAAAATCGTGCATATACATATGTAATGATGGAGTTGTGTTAAGTATTCTCTTGAATTTATTCTTTTACCGAGTTGTATAATCATGTAGGATTTCTGCGAATCGTACGAGGATCACGGTTCGGTTAATTACGATTTTTCACACGGTTTGGTTTAATTCCTGTAATCATTCCTCTGGCTTCGTTTTGGAAACCCGGCGTGAGAAAGTGATCAAAAGTAGCTTCAGATTCGAAAAGGATTCCGAGCCTGCGTATCCCGTGTTGTCTTTGGACGTCGAAAAAGAAACAGGAGGAAGAGAGAAATCGCAGTAGGCCCGCGGTTATTCCTGACCGAGCATTATCGGTCCGCGGCTCCGTATTTTCTGTCCGATTACTTCTTCGTGAGCGCCTGGGTAAGTGGCCTTCGAGAAATAATTTCCTCCCGGAGTCCGGGGTCTCGTGGCCACTCCAGCCCGTGAAATTTTGATCCGGTGAAACGATTTTGGAACGCCTCGCATCTTGCAGTACCCCCTGCTTTTCTTTCTGCTCTTGTTGCATTGGTGCATGCATCCAGCCTCGAGATATGTGCATATATACACTTATTATACCTGGTTTCGTTATCGATTCCATTGCTGTTATGAGAACGTTCAACATTTATTAGGAAATTTAAAGGAATCTTGTCATAGAAAATATTCAAATGTCTAAATGATAGAATGCATTTTTATAACTGATACTTGCATACAAATCTGCAGTTTATTAATGATAAAAGACATGTTTTCGGATATTGAAATATTTTTATTGCCAGAAGGATTAATGTGGATGTTGATATTTAATTACTGGGTTAGAATGGAATAATAAATTTGATGCGACTAGGGGAAATTCTAAGTATAATTCGATTCACAGTGCGTGTGCAAAAGTTGTGTCTCGATGTTGAAAGACTGTGCGAAGCGAGGTAGTCGTAAATTTGCTACGCGATATTGTTATAAGATTGCACGGGGCACAATCGTGAGATAGCGGTTGTGTGGTAACGAAAACGTGTTATTATCTCATGTTTATCTGTGTATCGATACATTGTCTTCTTATTGATTCAGCGTTTAGTATACGACTATGGGAACGTTTTCCTGCGCAGAAGTGTAGCGATACTGTTTCGTCGTTTACGCCGATACTCACGCATCACCGCGCTTGTATATACTCCATTAATTAACGTTGATCACCGGCTAATTCACCGATTCTCCGATTCACCGGTAATTAACCCGTTATTGCGCAACTAGCTGCAACTATTTTTCTCTGATGAAATCTACCTGCCTGTGTTTTTCAATACAATAGCTGGGTACGCGTATTCCAGGAGTTGTTGCTTTGAAAGTTAAATTGGAATTCATCAATTTTTCATTCAATCCAATTGGACTTAATTAAAAAGCGAGTATTTAGAATTGTATAAAAAGCTTAGAGTATTCAGAATTGTATAAAATATTTACAAAA